TGTTTGAATTGAGGCAGATCATAGCAATGCTTTCATCCAGGGAATGGTTCTTTGTGCAGGTCCTTCCTTGAACCTGACCTTAATTTCATGATTTTCATTAAAGAAATAATAGGAAAGCCTAATTTAAAGGAAGTTAGGATTTATAATTCAGAAATGTTTCTGCTTGTTTGTAACTAGCTTTCTAGTTGCTCGCCACTCCACTTTCCATTCTCTATTTACTTTTATAAAAATAAATAAATAAGGAAAAAGCTGTCTTAGTGTGGGTTCAACAGAAAGCAGAGCATAAGACAGAAACTTAAGTGTAAATACGCTATTCAGGACTCGGATCCAGGGAGCAAGAACAAGGGACAGGGAAAGTGAAGCAGAGGAGTGCGAAGAGCCTATACAAAGATGCTTGACATGTTCAAGTTGGCCGCGCTTATCCTGCAGGACAGCCTGAAGAACCACAACAAAGAAACCCAGGAGTGGAATGAGAGTAGCACTGGGCAAGGCCTGTTAGGTTGCACCTGCAAGAAGCCAGCTAGAGCCAAGGAAAAACCAGTGGCTGGAAAAAGATGCATGTAGGGCAGATGACTCTGAAGTACTAACATGTGGTCTCCCATAACACATAACTCTATTTTTGTGTCATATACTTCCATGCATAAGTATATAAAGTAAAACATGTACTTTTGCTCCCCACCCCCACCCTTCTCTCATGGATACTCATTAACATTTCATTGTCTATGCATTTACATATCATCTGAGACCATATACATATATTTTTTTCCTTTTAAAAATATGAATTGGGCCCAGCTGGTGTGGCTCAGTGGTTGAGCATCGACCCATGTACCAAGAGGTCACCAGTTTGATTCCCAGTCAGGGCACATGTCCACATTGTGGGCCTGATCCCCAGTGTAGGGCATGCAGGAGGCAGCCAATCAATGTTCTCTCTCATCGATGTTTCTCTCTCTTCCTCTCCTCTCTAATATCAACAAAGAAAAGAAAAATTTTTTTTAATGAATTGGATCATATTCATCTCCTTGTTCTGTGACATGTTCTTTTCAACTTATGTATTACTTGCATCATGGTTAGGTTTTACCTCATCTTCAACAAGTTAATTTTGCACTATAGTAGGTACATTGGAAAACACTGACTTGACATTTTTTGAATGAATGCTTTAATAAAGAAATGATAGTATGCGTTCTAGTTAGAGCTCTTGCTTATTGGAGAGGAAAGCTGCTAACATTGGGGATGCAGTGGGCACGGTCTGGTAAAACATGGAATTTTCACTGCCAGACAGTTGACAGTCATCCCTGCCCATCACCTTCTTCCCATTCATCAATACTTCCACAGCCTCAATTCAGAAGTAAGAATGGAGACTACACAAAGGAGACACAGAAAAGAGGTACAGAGAGGAAAAACAATGTTCCCTCTACCCTTATGAGTTCTTTGACTGAGGCTCCTGTAATAAAAGACAGATTAACAAGATAAAAACAAACACATTTATCAACATGTATCCTTCAGGTATACATGGGAGAAATGCAGGAAAAAATAACTCCCCAAGGTGACTTCAAATTCAGGATTAAATAGCATTTTAATAGGGAAAGGGGACAAGGGTAGGCCTGTTAGGGGTGGGAGCGATGATGGTGACAAAGTTTGTCTGGGTGTGGTGTCTACTTCTGGTCTCTTCTCCTATGACAAGTCAATCTTCCCTGATTGATACAACTCCTGGGGAGGGGATTTGTGGCAATTGAATTCCTTTTGGAGGATTGTCTTTAGGCAGAGAAGGGATTTCAGAGACAGCCTCTCCCTGAATTTGCTGTTTCTCAAGTGCCTACAGTTTAAATCATCAATATGCCAGCCATATATTTTGGGGTGGCATATTCTGCTACCCTTGAGAGATAAGGGGAGACCCAAAGATTTGTTCAGTCTGCAAATATGTTAACCTCATACTAAATGACAGGCACTATAGATAAAATGGGGAACTCAGCAGACTTGGTCCCTGTCCTCAGGCAGGGAAGGTCTAGAGCTGAGCGATGGAAGAGATAAGAGTAGGGCAAAGATGCAGAAGAAAAAGAAAAGGAAATAGAATTCCAAAGGAGTGAAGAATTTCAGTTAATGACTAAATCAGTACAGTGTTTATGATAATATACATTGTTTAAATCCCAGCTATCTGCTCCTACACGCTGTACCTGATTACACTCCTCCGCCACATACATGTACATCCCAATAATAATATGGAGATAGATTTTCATGGTTTTCCACAGTTTATTATTTATTAATAAATAATAACAGTAATATTATTTATTAATAATAAATACACTTGAGCCCTGGATGGTTTGGCTCAGCGGTTAGAGCGACGGCCCACAGACCAAAGAGACTCGGGTTCGATTCCAGTCAGGGGCATGTGCCTCAGTCTCCGGTCCCGGTCAGGGTCATGCAAGAGGCAACCAGTTGATGTGTCTCTCTCACATCGATATTTCTCTCTCCCTCTCTCGCCCTTCCTCCCTCCCTCCCACTCTGTCGGAAGATAAATGGGGAAAAAATCCTCAGGTGAGGATTTAAAAAAAATTTTTTTTAATAGACTTGATTCAAACCTCTGGATTGTGACCCAGGTCTAAGTATAAATATAGTAGAAGTCATAAGTTTAGTGACAATCTTACTAATTAAATTATTTGGCCTGTTTTTAACCTTGTTGGATAGTTTTTCTTTTTAAAGTTGATATGAATGTTGTTCGTAGCAGCATCAATAAGCCAAGAATTCAGTTACTCAATCACACAGATTACTCATCACTGCCTGTTCATAACAGAATCCTAAAATGTTTAAGATTTCTGATGCAAATCGAAACCTCATCATCACTTGTCATTGCTAAATTAAGTGACAGGATAATAACATTACATTAAAACCATTTTTCTCTTGATTGAGTACCTTTTTCAGAAGTGAACCTTGTAGATGTATATTTTTTTTCATCAGTACTATAAATGCATTTAGAATTGGAGATAAAAATAGAATTAAAAAGGGGAGGAGTGAAGTGGGATGTTTTCAAATTATTGATGAATGTCTTGAATCTCAAATAACCATATTTGACAGTGCAGTGCTAGGGAATGGAGTAGTTTAGCTCAATTTATTGAAACCTTTAGAACTACATAAAGGAGGTTCACAGGTCGAACTTAGTCTTTATTAACACAATCATAGACTCTGGTTAACAGTCATATGGCATCCCATTGCAAACAGGCTGTTAGTGACCTGTAGGAATCGGCATGGTTCTGTTACTCTTAATATGGTAAGATACTGATTTCAGGTAGATCACAGCCTATGTGGGAAATGAACATAAATTTCTAACCAGCTAAAACAAAGTAGGTTCTCAGTCAACTTACCATAGTGAACATCTCTCTTGGCCTTTCTTTCTTGCCTAAAGCTAATTAACCTTCTTGGTCACACCTACCTTCTCTCCATCTGCTTCATCTGGCCCTTGGCCCACTTCTTTATGGCCACCCAACCACTCCTCATGCCACCGAGCCCATTGTCACTTGCCCCTCCATCCAGAACTCCTTTTCCATTTTTTTTTTTAAATCCTCACCCGAGGATATTTTTTTCCATTTATCTTCAGATAGAGTGGGAGGGAGGGAGTGTGAGACAGAGAGAAACATCAGTATGAAAGAGACACATCAACTGGCTGCCTCCACACGACCCTGACCAGGACCAGGGACTGAACCACAATTGAGGTGCGTCTCCTTGACTGGAATCGAACCCACAACTCTTTGGTCTGTGGGCCGACGCTCTAACTGCTGAGCCAGACCAGCCAGGGCTCCTTTTCCATTTTAAAGCCTTCTGTCCTTCAAAGACTTTGTTTCTTCACAGCTTCCACCTTTAATGTTATGAAAATCATATACTGGAGCAAACCTTTTACTTTTTGCCTCATGTAATACAATTTCATTAGACACTAACATGTCAGTAATAAACTGTCAGTGAAATTCCTTAGCTCTTGGAAAAGTTGACAAAGGTATAGATTGAAACAAGATTGGCTTTGAGTTGACAATAGTTGAATCTGGGTGATGGGTATAGGGGAAATCAATATACTATTTTCTCCAGTTTTATGTTTGGATTTTTGTATAGTAAAAATGTAACACTAAGCTCCTTCAAATTCATTTTTTTAAATATTTTTTCTTTATTAATTTTAGAGAGAGAGGAAGGGAGAGGGAGAGACAGACAGAAACGTCGATGAGAGAGAGAACATCAAGTGGCCACCTCCTGCATGCCCCCCACTGATGATTTGGCCTACAACCTGGGCATGTGCTCTGACCAGGAATCAAACTGGCGACCTCTTGGTGCATGGTGCTCAAACACTGAGCCACATCGGCCAGGCCAAATTCATTTTTTAAAATAGATGCTCTCTTTGAATCAGTGCATGAAATGGGTAATAGACAGGATGGATTAGGACAAAAACCTGAACTTGCCACCCAAATACTCCACTCCTACTCCACCCTCAGAGAAACAAATAAGATTCTTTGGTGCCTGGAATTGCAACTTCTCTCTTCTCCTAAGGTCCTAAACATGATTACCAGAATCCTGCTTTCCTTCCTGCTTCTTATTAAAGTGACCAGATAAACCTGGACAGAAACACACATTAACTTGGCTCATTTAAGTCCCACTGTGAATGAAGCTCTGTGCCAAGCATTGAGGAGGAATATGAAGTTACTTCCCTCTAAGAGATCCCCAAGATGGAAAACAGGCACCCATGAACAACCCTGATGCAGTATAGACACTAGAGACTGTCACCTGAAGTAGAGCTACGGTAGCACAGGGCAGTGGGGAGAAGAATCCTGTCGAGCAGATGCATACTCGAAAGTGGTGCAAACTACTGAATGTTGTCTTGAAGGAAGAAGTATTGTGCCCTGCTTCTGCCTGCAGTGCTGCTTGCTTAGAGCTCCACCAGATAACCTTCCCTCTCTCTTCTAAAGAACTTAAATTTATTGCAGGTATCAATGTGCTTTTTTCTCCTTCTCTTTTTAAATTATTAGTCTTACTTCTCGTTTGCCAAAAACCGGAGAAACCATCCATGGACATAAGTTTTTTATTGGCTTTGGAGGGAAAGGTGCCAACCAGTGTGTCCAAGCTGCTAGGCTTGGAGCAAAGACATCCATAGTATGCAAGGTAAGTGCAAAGTACAATGGAGAGTATTCTGAAGGTAAGAATGTGGTTTTAAGGCGCAAGTTCACTGTTTCTATTTTTTTAACTATTTAAAGTGAACAACTTGGTAGCATTTAGTACAATCACAATGTTGTACAACTACCATTTCTACCTAGTTCGAGAACATTTCCATCATTCCAAAATAAAACTCCTTACATTAAGCAGTCACTTCCCACTCGCCCCCCCTCCTTGCCCCTGGCAACCACCAATCTACATCCTGTCTCTATGGATTTATCTATTTCTGAAGATTTCCTATAAATGGAACCATGTGATATGTGACATTTTGTGTCTGGCTTCTTTCACTTAGCATAATGTTTTTAAGGTTCATTTACCTTATAGCACGTGTCAGTAGTTTACTCCTTCTGTGGCTCAATAATATCCATTGTATATGCCACGATTTGTTTATCCATTGTGGACAATGGGGTTGTTTCCACTTTTTGGCTATTGTGAACATTGCTGCTATAAACATGCTCTCACATGTATTTGTTTGAGCACCTATTTAATTCTTTTAGAAGTTCATTGGTTTTAAAGATATTTTTTTAATTTGTATACCCATGTTTATATCAACATTATTCATAATAGCCAAAAGGTAAGACCAACAGATAAATGAATAAACAAAATGTGCTACATACATACAGTGGAATAGTATTCAGCCTTAAAAAGGAAATTCTGGCCTAGCCAGTTTGGCTCAGTTGGTTGGGAGTCATCTCATGCACTGAAAGGTCGCCAGTTCGGTTCCCAGTCAGGGCACATGCCCAGGTTTCAGGCTCAATCCCAGGTAGAAGATATGCAGGAGGCAGCTGATCGATGTTGCTCTCTCACACTGATGTTTCTATCTCTCCATTCCTCTCTCTCTCTTTGGTGCATCTGTCCTCATCTGTCGGTGAGCAGAAGCCACTGCGTGAGTACCACGTACATGCCCAAAACACCACGTGACACTGTCCCGGCCGCCACCACCAGAGTCCCGCGGGCTCCACAGGATCCTCTGGCTCCTGCCAAAACTTTTCCCATTAATTCAGTTTTAAAGATTTAAATAGGAGAGAGTAATCTTCCTTGTTTTTATATTAGTTCCTACCTCACTGAACCAACCCACTGGGATGTAGCAGTCTTCAAATAACTTAACACTGTGTTCCCTGAATTGAATGAGTTTATAACTAGAAAGTGAGAAACAAGGAGAATTAGTCTACTCCAGTCGGTTTATCTAGTCCTGCTTCTAAACAACAGCATGAGTCATCCTGTTTTTAGCAGGTTTTACTGCAACAACACAGCTTTTGGAAACTTGGTTTGATAACTGGTGACTTGTTCATCTCTAAGATATTTTTCTTTAATGCTATATCTTGGGTCAGAAAGACATCTGGGCCTTACTGAACTACACATTGTTGATCTTTAGGCATAGTTCTGTTTTCAGGTATATAAAGAAATATACAATACAGTAGTAATCCTGTTTCCATTCATCTACTGAAATGATCTGAAAAATAAATCAAACAAAATTGGGTGCCAAAGGTTCAACTTTTGCATCTTTTTTTAAAAATTAATTTATTTTTCTTACAGATATTTCTCCTTTTTCCCCCACTGATATCCCCCTCCCCCCCTCCCTACCCTGTCCCCAGCTTTGTTGTCCATGTCCATTGTTCATGCATACATGGATATAAGTTCTGTGGTTTATCTCCCCCCCTCCACCCCCTCTTCTGGGGATTGTCAGTCTGTACCCCACTTCTGTGTCTCTGGGACTACCCCATTCCTCAGATTGTTATGTTCATTATATTCCATAAATAAGTGAGATCATGTGATATTTGTCTTTCTCTGCTTGGCTTGTTTCCCTTAGGATAATACTCTAGGTCCCTCCATGTCATCTCAAAGGATAAGAGATCTTTCTTTCTTATAGCTGCATAGTACTCCATTGTGTATATGTACCACAGCTTTTTTATCCATTTCTCTACTGATGGACATTTGGGCTGTTTCCAGATCTTAGCTATTGTAAATAGTGCTGCTATGAACATGGGGATACATATATTCTTTCTGATTGGTGTTTCAGGCTTCTTAGGGTATATTCCTAGAAGTGGGATCACTGGGTCAAATGGCAGTTCAGTCTTTAATTTTTTGAGGTAACACCATAGTGTTTTCCATAGTGGCTGCACCAGTCTGCATTCCCACCAGCAGTGTACTAGAGTCCCCTTTTCTCCACACCCTCGCCAACATTTGTTGTTTGATGATTTGTTGATGGCGGCCATTCTGACAGGTGTGAGGTGATACCTCATTGTTGTTTTAATTGCATCTCTCTGATGATTAGTGATGTTGAGCATTTCTTCATGTCTCTTGGCCATTTGTATGTCCTGTTTGGAGAGGTGAGTATTTAGTTTCTCTGCCCATTTTTTTAATTGGGTTCTTTGTCTTCCTTTTGTTGAGCTGTATGAGCACTCTATATATATTGGAAATTAACCCCTCATCTGATGTATCATTGGCAATTATGCTCTCCCATAGAGCGGGTTGCCTTTCCATTTTGGTGGTTGTTTCTTTTGCTGTATAGAAGCTTTTGAGTTTAATGTAGTCCCATGTGTTCATTGTTTCTGTTGCCTTAGGTGATGAATCAGTGAAAATTCTGCCGCATATGATGTCTGAAATTTTGTTGCCTACATTTTCTTCTAGGATTTTTATGGATTCACATTTAAGTCTTTTATCCATTTTGAATTTATTTTTGTGTATGGTCTAATTTGATGGTCTAGTTTCATTTTTTTGCATGTAGCTGTCCAATTTTCCCAACATCATTTATTAAAGAGGCTGTCTCTACTCCATTGTATGCTCTTGCCCCTTTGTCATTTTTTTTTTTTTTTTAATCCTCACCTGAGGACGTTTTTCCATTTTTTGTTCAGGTAGAGTGGGAGGGAGAGAGAGGAAGAGAGAGAAACATCAATGTGAAAGGGACACATCGAGTGGCTGCCACTCACACCACCAACCAGGGCCGGGGACAGACTGCAACTGAGGTACGTGCCCTTAGCAGGAACCGAACCCGGGTCTCTTGGGACCACAGGCCTATGTTCTAACAGCTGAGCCAAACTGGCCAGGGCCCCCTTTGTCAAATATTAATTGAGCATATTGTCTTGGGTCCATTTCTGGGTTCTCTGTTCTGTTCCATTGATCTATCTGCCTGTTCTTGTGCCAGTACCAGGCTGTTTTGATTACAGTGGCTTTGTAGTATAACCTGAAATCTGGTAAAGTGATCTCTCCAACTTTGTTCTTCTTTTTCAAGATTGGTGTGGCTATTCGGGGTCTTTTTTGGTTCCATATGAACTTTTGAAGTATTTGTTCTAGTTCTGTGAAGTATGTTGTTGGTATTTTGATGGGGATTGCATTCAATCTATAGATTGCTTTGGGTAGTATGGACATTTTAATGATGTTAATTCTTCCCAATCCATGAACAAGGTATGTGCTTCCACTTTTTTATATCTTCCTCTATTTCTTTTTTCAATGACCAGTAGTTTTCTATGAATAGGTCCTTTATTTCTTTGGTTAAGTTTATTCCTAGGTATCTTAATTTTTTTTCTGCGATGGTAAATGAGGTTTTTTTTTAGTTCTTTCTGTGACTTCATCATTGGTGTATAAGAATGTGTCGATTTCTTGACGTTAATTTTGTATCCTGCTACTTTACCAAATTTATTTATTAAGTCTAGTAAATTTTTGATGGAGTCTTTGGGGTTTTCTACGTATAGTATCATGTCATCTGCGAATAATGACAGTTTCACTTCCTCCTTTCCAATTTGGATCCCTTTTATTTTTTCTTCATGTCTGATTGCTGTGGGTAAGACTTTCAGTAGTATGATAAATAAGAGTGGCGAAAGTGGGCATCCTTGTCTTGTTCCTGTTCTTAAGGGAAATGCTTTTAGTTTTTGCCCAAGTTTTGCATCTTTAATGAAATTTTAAGGTGCTGTCATTACTGGTCAACAGGACAGAGAGTTTATTTATTTTAGGAAAGCTAGACTGGGTCTGCATAGTAGAGGATAAGAAAAATATGATAAATTTAAAAGAATGAGCTCTCTGCTGTGAACTGTGTAGATATTACCAAAATGTTTCTAAAATGTCACTTAACATTGCATACAGCACTTTTTCTCCACAGGAGTCTCTAAATGATGCATAAACTATACAATTATCACTTCATCTACTAATGAACTGTAGCTTTATTTCTACTTTATAATTAACATGATATAATTCACATCTAGCTATTTGGTCAAAAACATCTCATGTAGCACAAGGTTCAGAGTAAGAAACCCTCATTTCCTAAGGTTGAGCTCTTGATACATTTAAAGTATCAATCAATTAATCAGCAATTAATTACTGACAACCTATTATGTGCTAGGAAATATGGGATTTGGAGAGGGAGCAGATTAAAAATGCTAGGCCTGATTTGTCCTATACTTGATTAGAAATAAAGGGTTTGGGGAGTAGTCAGATGGTGCTGACCTAAGGGGGCTTGGAAACTGGAAAGAGGATATCATTTCCTGGCTGGGAAAACCTGGACAGAGAATTGGTATTGGAAGCAAGGTACTGAGAATGGCCATTGGAAAAGGGAGTTCCCTAGAGCTGGAGCTATTAAAGGAGAGATTAGAGAACCCCCTCTTGGAAGTTTTATAAAAGCTATTCATTTAGCCATTAAAGTCAAATTTGGATGTCCCCTAGGATTTTATCCAACTCAGTTTTGAAATTGGTTTTATTTTAGGTCTGTTGAATTTGAGGCAGAGAGAGAAAAATAAATTGAAATATTTGAATTGTGGAACTGACCTTGGGAAATGAATCATGAAACCATAGGAGTGGACATGAGGGGAGGAGAGGCAGAGGACTGTATTTGGGAAAATGTTCTGGTGAGGAAGTTGATTAAAAGCAAAGGCTCTATTTATTTATTCTGGTCTGTGTATGATGGTTTATGTTAGTACATGTCCAGTTTTGAAAGTTCTTTATATCTAATGTGCCCC